GGGGTGCACTGGGACGGCCCTGGCCTACAGCTGGAGTGTCTGGATCAAGAAGTGGGGGCACACGGTGTGTGTCCGCACGGTGCTCCGCCTTTAATCTTGGAGCCTCCTGTGAGGTCGGACTGCGGTGGTCCCCTTTTACAGCTGAAGAAATAGAGGACCAGAGAGGTTAGGAGCACTGCCACACAGCAGATAAGGAGGGAGGGCCCTCTTTTTTCTTGAACTTATTTTGTTAATGAGGTGAAATTCACATAATATAAATGTAACGATATCAAGTGGAAAAAAAAAGAAGTGGGGCACAGCCCTGGCCAGTATTGCTAAGTGGTTAGAGCGTTGGCCCACGCACTGCAGGGTTGTGGGTTCAATTCCAGGTCAAGGGCACGTACCTGGGTTGCAGGTTTGATCCCCTTCCCTAGTCAGGGCATGTGTGGGAGGCAATTAATCTTATGTCAATGTTTCTCTCTCTCTCTCTCTCCATCCCTCCTTCTCTCCCTTCCACTCTAAAACTCAATGGGGAAAATATCCTCAGGCGAGGATTAACGAAACAAAAGAAGTGGGGACACACATGGTGCTCTGTTGCCCTCAACCCAAGAGGGTTTCTGCAGTTCCTCTCCCACTTGGCAAACGCTCTAGGGCAGTGGTTCTCAACCTTCTGGCCCTTTAAACACAGTTCCTCATGTTGTGACCCAACCATAAAATTACTTTCGTTGCTACCTCATAACTGTAATGTTGCTACTGTGATGAATCGTCATGTAAATATCTGATCTGCAGGATGGTCTAAGGCAACCCCTGTGGAAGGGTCGTTCGGCTGCCAAAGGGGTCGCGACCCACAGGCTGAGAACCGCTGCTCCAGGATTAGTGAATGGATTTCCTTCCTGTGTGGCCTGGGTATCCTTTAAACCAGCGGTCGCCAACCGGTGGTCTGCGGTCCTTTTGGTGAGGTGCAAAGGTTGGCAGCCGCTGCTTTAAACTACTGTTTTTAAGCTGTACCTCCGGGTAGGCGCCCGCAGGCCAGCGTGCTGGGTGGGGTGCCCGCCTGCCTGTCCCCTGTGCGCCTCCCTGTTGCTGGGAGGTCTCTCTGGTTTGCTGTGCAGAAGCTCTTCAGTCAGCCCTCGGCTCTTCTTCAGGGGGAACTGCTCTGTCTGTTGGTGTAACTTTGATGTGTTCCTGGGAGGAGACGAGCTCAGCATTGTTATCTTGGAGCTGAAGCCCCTCTTTGTTGGTTTAGTTTTATTTATTTATTTTTTAAATATATTTTATTGATTTTTTACAGAGAGGAAGGGAGAGGGATAGAGAGTTAGAAACATCGATGCGAGAGAAACATCGATCAGCTGCCTCCTGCACATCTCCCACCGGGGATGTGCCTGCAACCCAGGTACATGCCCTTGAATGGAATCGAACCCGGGACCCTTTAGTCTGCAAGCCGACGCTCTATACACTGAGCCAAACCGGTTTCGGCTAGTTTTATTTTTAAGTATGTAAAATATTCACATGTGATCAGACATCAAAATGTTATAAAAATATGACCAAACACCCATTCTGGTTCATCTTTTCTGTATTTCTCTTTACAAAAATAAGTGGAACTATATGAAATTTTCTTATTATTTCTTCCTTACGACCACAGATAATAAACCAGGTGACATATGTTCATTTTTCATTTTCTTATAACATCCTGGAGTTACCTCCAAATTCATTGAGTCTCTTGGGTATTTTTTTTCATCTTTAAATATCTCATTGTATGACTATACCATTGTTTCTTCAAACAACCATTTAGATTGCTTTCACTAATTTGGAATTACCTAGTCACCCTGCATTTATGTTGTTATGAGAAAAGCCAAACACCTCTTTATGTGTATAAGGGTCACATATATACACATGTGTGACATGAATTTTCTGTTCATACCTTTTATTCATTTTTCTATCAGATTTTTTTGGTCTTTTTTTTCTTCATATTAAAAAAGGTTCTTTATATATTGGAAATATTAACCCTTTATCTGCAATGTGTATTTTTTTTTACAGTCAATTGATTTAGTTTTTTTCAATTACAGTTGACATTCAGTATTATATGAGTTCAGGTGTACAGCATAGTGGTTAGACGTTTCTGTTGCGTATGGAGTGATGCCCTGAGAAGTCTAGTGCCCCTGACACCATACATAGTTATTATAATATCATTGACCATACTCCCTGTGCTGTACTTTTACATCCCCGAAGCTATGTAGTAACTGCCAACCTGCTGTCATCTTAAAGAGGCGCGGTGAGGAGAAACCTGAGAGACTGACAATTTACCTGAAAGCTGTTTCAGTTATTGCATCAGACGAAAATTCCTGCATTGGGTTAAATCTACTTCTTTTCTAACTTTACCCTTTGTGATAAAAGGGTGAAGTTAGATCAGGAAAGTTGGATTGCGGAATTAACTACAGATAAAATAATTCTCCCCAACCCCGAATAAATGGGCGACCCTGTGAGACTTTAATAAAACTGTCAGTTTTTAAAACGTTTCCCTTCTGTGATTTCCCCCAATCCTTGGAGCTGTCTCTATGGAAGTGTGATGGTGCTGAGTGGCAACTCACCTGCCCAGCTCACCTGCCCAACTCACCTGCCCAGCTCATCTGCCCAGCTCACCTGCCCAACTCACCTGCCCAGCTCACCTGCCCAGCTCACCTGCCCAACTCACCTGCCCAGCTCTCCTGCCCAGCTCTCCTGCCCAAATCACCTGCCCAGCTCTCCTGCCCAGCTCACCTGCCCAGCTCTCCTGCCCAGCTCTCCTGCCCCTGCTGCATTTCCTCTGCTCTCTGGAGGAGAGTATTTATTCATTGTATAATGTTGCCATAAAGAACAATGAAGATAAACCTCTGTGATGTGTGTTGCAAATATTTTCTCCCTGGTTATTATTTGCATTTTGGCATTACTTATGGTTTCATACACAAAATTTGAAAGAATGTTAATGTATTTGAAGTAACAATCTTCTAATGACTTTTGGTTTTGAGTCTGTTAGAAAGTCCCGTATACCAATGTTTCCTTCTTGTGTCACTGACTAAAGTTGGTGGGTCCTTTGCCCCAGCACACAGAAAGGCCAGATACTGAAACAGCAGGTTTTTCACAGACAAAAGGGAGTTTTATTCCTGCGGTAGACAGGTGAGGAGACAGGGAGAAAGCCCAAATCTGTCTCCCCAATAAAGATTTGAAGTAAATTTAAGGAGAACCAAGATGGCGGCACAGGTTAAAGCCGGAGTTTGCTGCCTCGAACAACCACTTCAAAAGTGAAACTAAAAGAGGGAACGGACACCACCCAGAACCACAGGAACGCTGGCTGAGTGGACGTA